CTTTCAACTCACGGGTATTCCTTAGGGTTTTGCGTCCAAAGTGTTTAGCAAACACATTCTCTGAAGTGTTGCAGGGCTTTCTTTTCAGGCTAAAAGAAGATGTTACAAACTAGGACATTTTCCGCTCTGAAATTACATAATGGTCATACAGTAAGCTCATTATTTCAAAGAAATCCGTCACTGAGGGTTTCAGCTCATTGACGTGGAAAACTTAATTTGCGTACAAGTTGTCACCGTTTTCGAAGGACATTTTTCTAGAGACTTCTTCATTTCGAGCGCAAAATCGGACTGGGGACCAACAATGTGGTTTTCCCTCTAGAGAGTTCCTTGAATTTTTTTGTGCACCAAAAAATTATATGTGCACCAGTGACCTCTTCCTGTACAACCCCACTTCGCTGGATTGAATACACCCCCCCCCCTGGTACAAGCCCATATTCAGAGCACTGTACTTTTCATTCAGGACCATAGTATTCAGAGAACTGTGATTTCAATGTAGTTTGGCCCTGACAATGAATTTCAGTGATCAGTCGTGGAAAGGTCTGCGTTTTCATCCTCCTAAACAGTCCTGGTACCATTTAGGCCGCGTTCATGCTTTGCGGCAGGGCACAAGCTGTCTACTACCCTTCTATCGCACCATACTTTCCAATTCCGGATGATACCGCTCGCTGGTGGACGCTAGTAGACGCTGCTGGTCGCTAAATCGATACCTACACTTCTCTAAGACGCTGTTGGTCGCAGGTGGACGCTGATGGTCACTGGTAGACGCTGGTGGACGCTGCCGTAAAGTAGGAACGCATTCTTACCGTTCCTGAGGGCAGACGGCTTGGTTGGCCTAGACGGAGTCAATCTGGTATTTGATCCAGTGACCTCGCACGTGCTAAGCGCGCCACTTGCATGCAACTGCATCACCTCCGCAACAAATTACAGTATAAGAAGATATAATGTAGCAATAATTACCATATTAATAATGTAGTAATAGTTATCATATTATATACGTATGATATATTGTTAAGAAGACATAATTGAATAAAATGTATTATGTTATATGATTATACACGTAGGATACGATGTTAAGTAGATCTAAAAGAACAATATGTTTCACATAATATGATCATAGACGTATAACATAAAATTATAGTAATATATAATCTAATAACATCCAGTTGCTTAGTTCTGGAAACTGTAAAATATTTAAGAAGAAATTGAACCCAAAATGCACGGAAATCGAGGGCTTGGACACGAGAGTGCGCTTAATTTCCAATAAGCCTTTACGTGCAGCTCTGGCACCCTGCCAACCGGTTCAAACTGGCCTCATCTTGACGCTACTTTGGCTCCGGTTAGAGGGAGACTTTTACTGGGAAAACAGAGATGATTAAGTGTAACACTACAATCCGTGTGCCTTTTCAGGTTTCAGTGTTGCACTGCCTTCTTCTCACTGAAAAGGTAATAGTTCACACGTTCTGCCTTCCGCAAGGGTCGATAATTGTGTCCGGAAGAGTAGGCCATTTCGAAATCACTGGCAAAGTGCCAGAAAAACCACAGTTGTGTAGGGGTCCCGCAGCGGAACTACAGCTGTGAAAAAAGAAGCCACAAAATCGCGTTTCAAACAGTTTTGAAGCTCTTACTCAATAGCAAAGCAGTGGAAAGGTAAGCAGATAGGGGGAGTTCAGCAAGGGGAAGCTATTCATCGCTCCTCTGAAATTGGTTTTCTTACTGCTGGACTTGATTAGAGCCTTCATCATCCGTGGACTCCATGGGAGCTTTAGAGGTGTCTACGGATATTCAGCTCCAAGTTCTTTGAAATGGGTGGAACTCCTCGCTCGTGCTGGTGGTCTTCTCCCCTTTGACTCATGCTTCAAGTCATCTTAAAGATGCCTGATGGGTTGAGGTGTAAGCCTTTACTCGATCATTTTGTCACCCTGTTGCTGACCTTGGGTACCGGAACGTAGATCTCATGTACTTCTGTATTTGCCTCTGCTCATTTTTACTAATTTGAAAACAGCTCTTCCAGACATACTTTATCTATATCCACGATATTTCGGTACACAAGTCAAGAAAAATCAAAAAATAATTCGAAAGAAAACTCCAGTTTTTCGGCTTGTTCCACGTTTTTTTTCTTCCGCAACTGTGGATACTGTGGTTTCTTGAAAACCTCTACCCTACACATAGTGGCTAATCAACCTCCACCTTACGCGCCTGTGCAGCACGATCACCTAGTCCTCCAGTCCAAGGCTGGGGATGGAGAGCAGAATCAGAGCCGGCCGCTTTTTTGATCTGAAAATAGAATAACATCACGGACCTACTCACCTTCAACCCCATTTTAGGACCATTCATTTTCTGTGCCCGGAAATAGACCAGGAATATTCATCGTTATTTTGTTGTTATTTCTCCTCAGTTATATAATGAACTTTGTTCAAAATATTTTGCCCCGGCATTGTAAACCACTTTTATGGTACAAGTAAAGAAGTAAACGTGACCATTACAAAGTTCTTCAAGCTGTCAGTTTGTGCAGGAAATTTTCTACTTTTTTATGACCTGTGTTCTTCCTGTAATGTTCATATTGTGTTTCTAATATAGGTGGCCTTTCGGATTGTTGTTTACGCTCAGCTTTTTGCGTGTTTTTGTTTTTTATAATTTTTGTTTTGTACATAGGAATGTCAAGGCCGATTATTTCTTTAATAGAACATGAAGCGATGTGTCATCCTTTTATTCGCATTACACATTATGCTGATGAGATTTTTTATAGAGCTTTCGGAGCGCTAAGGATTCCTGTAGCCTTTATTGGTATACACAGGTGAGGGAGTCAGTATACACGGAGCGATTTTTCCCTTCTTCAGGTTTTCTTGCAGAAATATTTCTTTTTCACAGGAAAGGTTTCCATTTGATAACTCCTCCGATTACTAGCTTATATACAGAGAGATTCACAAATCTCATTTTAGCATCTACATGGGTTAAACCCTTACGTCGTTTACCACGAAAAAATCCCAGCATAAATGGTTGCACCGCATGTGGAGACGGCACGTGGCCCGCATAGTAGGCGAACGATTCTGGGGTCAAACGAGGCATCGATTCCCGCCGGACCATTCAAGCCTACTACTGCCCGGGTCCGGTGAACTAGTACCAGATACGGACGCTAATAAGCTTGAGGAAACGTCAAAAGGACTGCTTGTGCAAAACAGTGATACCATCACCAGAAAAGTCCGTCCCTGAAATTAGTTCACCAGCCTCTCAGCTCCTTCCTCCCCCTCCCCCTTTCTTTACTAGGGCAGCATTCAGACTTCGCAACGCTAGCGCATGTTTGACACGATCGACCCAGTCCAAAACATGCGCATCGATCGTCAAATCGCGCGATCGAAGCGCTGCCGTCATGAAGTCTGAACGCTGTTTTAGACCCGGGCGAAAAAAAAACATCAATTGCATAAAAGTGATCAAGAAGTCCTCTGCATGACGCCTCTAAGGATTTTCTCTCACGATGGTGATGGTATCATTGTTTTGCACGAGCAATCCTTTTATCTCGGAGAAATACATACATAATCATACAGAATCGAGTTCACCACTGCACAAATAAAAATCGTTCCCTACTCAAACCAAATGAGCCATTTTAAATAGAATTCATCACCTTCGAAACCCAAGTCACCATTCTTCTCAAAACAATTCACCACCATTCAAATCGAGTTCGCCACTGCACAAAAAAATCGTCCCCTACTCAAACCCATATGAAACTTTAATTGTAATTGTAAGTCGGCCCACCCCACAAGTCATTCTATAGATTACCTAGTGCATTCATCGCACTCAGTGACTCACGACGATTCTGAACGGGGTAGAACCGTTGCTGGTCAAACCATGAAACGATTACCACTCAAGTGAACCCAGCCTTTTACCCTCCGAGGCCGATAAATGAGCATTAGATTCGGGCATTGATTTGAAGGACTCCTCGTGCAAAATAGGGACTAACTAAACATAGACTTACTATTACAGTTACTGAAAAAGGGATTGCGCAGAAGCAGAAGGTTCACCCATCTGGAACACTGCCATTCGGTTCTTGCCGAATTACACTACCAGGTTGTAAGAAAAAAATTTTAAAAGGAGTCTTGGTCTCACTCTCAAAATATCACTCGAACTGTAAACTTTGACATTACTGAAATGTACCAGAACTGGTTCTGCTTGCACCACACATCCCAGCTCTACCTGAATTAGCCCTCTTTTCTACACTAAACTGCCTTGATCAGCTCAAATCAGCTTGCCTCAATCAGCTTGTTGACACCCTTACAAATAACGTCGCTACAGGAAAGATGTCTGGCTCATCGCGTAGATCGTAACTTGTTATATGAGCAGCAGCTCCAGTGCTTGATGTACCCGTTCTTCACAACTACCGTTTGGAAGGACGCTTGCGAGCAGAAGGACATGAATGTTGCGCTCATCAGTGAAATACACTGAGCAGTACTGCTTAGAGGCACTAGAGAGTCATTACAGATTAGAGTCAGAGGACAGCCGGTAGATCAACAATGTCCTGCAGAGAGTTTGTAGAACGCTACAGCAACTGACTCAAAATATAATAGTATATTTATAAAGAAGAGATAAAGTGAGAGTTCAGAAAACAATCATATATACAACAGAAAGGGAATATCGGGCGCTTTGGCTTGAGAGGGGCATTTTGCGCTTTCGCTATTCCTTTTTGCTACTTCACGGCGGTAAACAGGTTATATTTGATCAGGCCTGCAAGCTACGGTAAGCTACGAAATGATGAAAGTGAACCACTACGGTTACAGTAGTTTTCACGTCCTCATTTTCACGTCCTCATGTGTGCCCTCCAAGCCGAACAGCGCCAAAATGTTGCTTGAGGAAATGCTATGAGTGAATGAGACACATACGCAGTCTATAAACATACATCAATAAAATCGACTAGTAAGTATATCATGATGTGTGTTCCTGAGAGCGTAGAGTAGAACTTGGAGGGAGACCTCTCGAAAATTTTTTTGCTTTCAAAATAGAGTGTTCAATTAAAATCTGGCAGGAAAGTAATAGGAATTCTGGGTGGGAGCTCCGACGGTTCTTGTGGCTCTGTCCGCGCTGGCATCCTCTTCATCTTCGCCATCTTTCCGTACACGTCGCCATTTTGCCCGACGATTTTGAAACCATGTTTTGACCTTAAAATGATACGGTAATTCAAAAAAATCTAGGTTTTCATCGGGATTTTCATTCATAGTAACCATCCATTTCATATGTTATTCCTGGCGGGACAATGGGCGCGATGCCTGGAGGCGGGTGGCTATGGCCGGGGTCATTGGTAGAGGGGATGCGAGACGTACAGCCACGCCCAATTTATTATTTCCACCAATGGCGACCGCCCACTCCCAGCTGTTGTGCCCACTGCCTTCAAACCTTGGAATCCATCTCAACCATTGTGTACCTATAAACCTGCTGCTGGCCCTTACTGCTAATATGCGCACCACATCTACCCCATGAAAGGCAACGAGAACAAGCACAGGGGAGTGGTCACCTCTGCAAAATGCACGCTTGATTTTCTTGTAGATTTGTATATTTAGCATTGTTATATTGATTCTGCGCTGGCAATTGCAAGGCTACAGTACCCGGAAGTGTTCTTTTCACATTTGGTGCTGTAATATGTGATACGAGAAAATGATAATGTTGAGAATAATTCAAGAACTTTACTAGGAATTCAACTGATAAGTAAAAGAAAGTGCCACATTGTCTCCTAGGGACGAAATGTCAAAGAGTAGTTAAAATCCGTCACATGAAGCGAGCTGAAAAATCTTAAGTGCTCTGTTGTTTGCTGAAAGAGTTGCGTATAAGAAAGGTATTAACTTAGAGTGCAAGCGAACTTTCTCCTGAAATTTCATGCATAGTTTTCCAATAGTTAGTTATGGGAATGGAAATAGTTTTTCATAGCCTTTGAAGGTGAAGGGTTGGACGGCAAAGCCAAAGGATTTAGCCCTGTCCATCCGACAATTGGTGGTAAAGGTGCCAACGGGCGAACAACGTTGATCTACTCAGGGACTTTAGGAGCTGTAAACCAAATGTTAAAGAAAGGGAGTAGACATCTGACGGAGTGTAGAGGCCGGAAATCGGAACGCGCCTAACGATGGTCCTGAAAGGTCTGTTAGTGATGTTACAGTAGCAGGCCTCAACTGGAAATAAGGTCAACAAGCACTTGATAGATGACGAAAATCGGAACGCGCTTAACTATGCTCTCTAGATGGCCTTTCTAGGGTTAAAATGTAGTGAAGTTGGAGACTCCAGCGAAGGGGGTCGTGTTTAGTCGCGGAGATAGGAGAGAGGGAGGTAACGTATATATACGTATATACCTTTGAGAAAAATGTCGGTTGTAGACTCCGTTATACCGTAGAAGTGCGCTACGTAACCCCTTCCCACTCCGCGCTCGACGGTAGTTCTTTTGAAAAAGAGAAATTTTTGGAAAAAAATTCGTAAACTTGAGGGAAGTTGAGAAAACCCAGATTGACAGGGTAGCTAATACACAGCATGGGGATAGTATCAAAAGAAGCACCTTTGTGGGAATCGTATTTTGTAGAAGTTTTCCCTAACGCAGAACGAGTATATGGAAGATCAATTTTTCTGATAGATTATTCCCCTTAAAGTGATTTTTTGAATCGATATTATTGTAAATATTGGCCGCTCAAAAGGCTTCCCGGTAGTCATCGTTCTTCGAACTGAAGTTTTTGATTTTTTGCTTCAGGCAGTAGCAAGGACTGAACACTTTGAACTGAGGATGGGTTGATCTGAGTTACACTTCCTAACTACTTCCAGATTGTTGCAGTCTTCGACGTGCAGCTCAATTTCTACTTATTTATCCATTTACTACAGTAATATAAAGCTGTGTAGGACCGGAAAAGCCAGGAAAAAGCCAAATGATCACATTTATAGTAGTTCTAATGTGCTTAGTATGATCCTAAAAACCAGCAAGTAATTTGCAGTTTTTTGTATATTCCTCATGGAAAAATAAATGCTTGAGCTTAAGTTTCAGAGAACTCAACAAACCCTCGAAAAAATTAAAAGATGAAGTGGAATTCTACGCGATGCGCTTGAGCATTCGTGCGTTAGGCGCTTTCTGCAATCTTGTACGAAGTGCCCTCCACACTGTATCTTACATACAGCAGACCTAAGAAACCCCGCCCCAGATTGCCTCACCCCTTTTCGCCGCAAACACGCAAATTTCCTTTTGTTCGCACACTATTCTTAACCCCTTTTTTCGCTACTATACCTGAAAAGGACATGGCGTAAGGCTTCCTGTCAAGTGACCCATTCTGACCTCCTAATTACTAACGTGTACTATTTACACAAGGGCATGAGTAAGTGAGAGGAGGGGATCATTGAAAAAGTTGGATAGCTTAGCGATGATGAAATCTGATCCGACATGAGTGATTCGAGGGTTCAGCGAGCTATTACGTCAGATAGTCGATCCGTTAAGCCAATAGATTTACTCGAAACTCATCATTCACGGATAGATTACACAAAGAACACTCATGTAGGATCATCGTTCTATCCCATTGATTTGCGGGTATTAGTAAGAATTTGTTTCTCAAGAGAAATTAGCATTTTTGCAGAAACAGCGTTGAAATGTTATAATGCACAAAATAGCACCAAAAGGGCACAGATCAGCTCGGGTGCACTAAATGGTATTCAGACAGGGCACCTTGTAAACACTTGTAAAGCCACGTTATCAGAGTGGCTCACTAATACCATTTCGCAGCTTCAGGGGAGTTTACAAGTCTCTGAAACAAAATTCGTAAAAAACTAAACAAGGATCTAGCGGAAGTGGAGAATGCCTCTTCCAAGTCGACCAGTCTCCAAAAATTTGCTTGGATCCTATAACCTTTTGGTGCCCCACTTCAGAAATTCGGCCACGTTTCGATCGGAAATTCCCCAGACATTCATATGACAACATATTTCGATAGAAGTTCACCTAGAGAGCACAAACATGTCATGCCGCTCGACACCTGCGTCTGGAGCGCGGGCATTAAACACCTCAAATCACGAAATTTCCTGGAACTAAGCTCTCTAAGGAGCTTCATCCCCTGAACAAGAATATCACATCCGCTTGGCGCGAGAGCGCCTGAAATCCGCGCTACTGGCGCCGTGGCCAAGTAGGCCTTGGGGTGCGTCAGACGTTTAATGGCAAGCGTGTGTGGTATCGAGGTTCAAAGGATGAAACTACTGCCAAGGAAGAAAACTTGGTCAAGACAAAGCAAAGGTTTCTGAAGGTGGAACATCACATATGGACAGTGCCTCTATCAAAAAGATCTCAGAAGATTCGAAGGAAACCCAAATGTCCATGACATTCCAGGGCGTTACTCAGGGAGTACACCGGAAAATCCAAGCATTTGTTGGAATTTTCGTTCACCCTTCGCGAATCGAGAAGGCCCGCGTGCAAATGAAAAACAGCAAAATATTCGCCAACAAAAGAACTATATGAAGAAAATGGTCTTATTTCGATCGAAGTCAATACAAATTCACCGGTGTTAAAGGCATAAAGCACGATAATTTGGTGCTCAGTCTAAAATGATATTAGTGGCGCTATGTAATGGGAAAAAGCGAGAAAGCGAGGTGAAACGGTTAAAAACCTGCAAAGAAACCTTTGTTCTACACGACTCAGAGAGCAATTTCGGACGAGTTTCCCGTTGGCATCGTGCCAATAACCGCTACGGTAGGTGCGGCTGCGCTTGGGCATTTTCCACGTCCGCTACTTCTCATTGACGTGGCTATCTATCTAGGCGGCCCCTTCCGAGTTGACAGGTTTTACCATGATGGCTAGATGGGCTTGCTCCAGCTTTACAAGAGTTTCACAGGTTTCGCCAGAATGAGACTTAGTAAACCGGAACTAGGGAGCAATGATAGAACAAAATGCCTCCCGTCGACGTTCATTCAGACAATATGAGGTTCTCATAGGGCTTTGAGGTCCATCTAGGCTCCTTGAGTCTGTTCCACCGCTTTTCGAGATGGTGGGAATCATTCTTTACCACATCTTTGGCTCTGGAGATCGCGAGAGGCAAACCAGCCCGTTGGCTTCCCACTAACAATACCGCAGCTTTCAATTACTGTACTGTCTGGCTAAGGCACGATATCACTAAGGAATCGCTGCCGATGGA